GGAAAAACGAAAGCATTTTAATTATACAACAACTTCTCAAGTTCTTGTTTGAAATCAAGCACATAAAGAGTGAAAATCATCTAGTTATCGAGATACCAATTCAACAAACATTGCACCTCTCTTATCCCAGTAACAGTTACCTATGCATGTTGGTTTCCTTGAGCGATGCAACGTACGTTATAACACAGGGCAGTCGCTGGTTACACGTGAAAAGACCATGCAAGATGCATTAGTGAGAATATATAACACACTTAAACCTTCATAACTCATTTAATATGGCTCCATATTTGTAGTTCCTTTTTCTTTCATGGAAATAAATCTGTCGAAGTGGAACTATTTTCGTGAAATATCGAGAACGAGCAGTAGTCCGAAGAAAAAGAAAAAGTGGAACTATTAGAATTTGGAAGTTATCTAATGGGGTCTGAATTTTTAATTATCAACCATATAATTCTGGAAATAGTGTAAAGTTTAATTTGCTTTTCTCCAATTGTATGGTCAATATATACAAAACGCAAATATGAACTCTATAAGAGGAACCTCCGTAACTTACAAAACCAGTCTGGAAGCAATATTTCCCCTTGGATACTGTTACAATTATAGCCTTAAACAACCTGAATGAAATGGCGAAGTTTTGTAAAATTCAACAGATAAATAATTTCTTTAGAATACAAAGTGAAGATTTAAAACGAACTTACAGTATTTTGAATTAAATCCTAAATATTCCTATGGGTTTTATCACAAGTCTCAATATATAAGGTTCCAACTGAATTCCATTGGCATTCCAAGTATATTCCAATATGGAATGTGTTAATGTACATGTAGTCTCGAGTATGCTAATGTGTGCAAGTAGTTTAGATTGTGGTGATGTGTAACGAGTCTTTTTATGTATCACAATAAAATAATCCAAAACTGGTCTTGTCTGAATTGGCCATGATTCTAAAATAATGTTTACGTCCAAGAATATTACTGATGAACACGTTGTATTAATAGTGAATAACAATTTGAATAAATCATTTAACCCACATGAAAACATGAACACATCAATAAGACTGATTCTACTTCAAGATGTTAAGGCAAGAATGAATAATTTCTCATGTAAACAATTTTATATAAAAAGCTAAGACACGAAAGGTCAATTGCAAATCACAGATATACATAAAGGCCAGCACGTAATACAAACTAAATATAAATAACAACGCAAACAAAACATCTTTATGTATTGCTAGAAAAATAACAACACCAGAGTCTATTGTCTCGTTGTATTTTCTCTTTCATATTCTTTTACATATATACGAGCTGTTTGACGTATTTGCTTATAACTTGTAACTGTATCAGTTATGATGGTATGGTTTCTTGTTTGGATTTCTAAACCAGTACCTGACATGCATATTGACGCTAAAATAGTGTTCCACAAGTATACAATTTATCTGCGTTAGCAATTACAGATAGTTGAAGTCTTCAATGGAGAGGTGAATCATTCCGAACGACACTAATGAGTCAAACTTTGTTCACATAAAAATTGAGAAATGTTTCTTAATGACTACAGCACTCTTCTAGAACCGGAAGTTTTTCTACATTAAAGTTGCTTTTGGTAGAATTTCAATTAACGTCTTTTTCATTGTTAATGGCTGCGAAAATGGAATTTTACAGTAACTAATAGAAGTTCACTAAATTCGTGACGATGATGCAGATATCAGATTCAAAATATATGTTGTGTTTAAATTATGGTAAGAATTGATTTAAATTTAAAATTACCTTATACAACAGAAAAAAAGTTTAAAAATGAGTTATACAATGCCCCAAAAATTAGAATTACCTAACATAACGCCAACAATTTTAGAAACGCATTATACAAGGCCGAAAATTAGAGAAATGACTTATACAGTATCAAAAAATGTTAGAAATGGGTTATACAATGTCAAAAATATTATAAATGCGTTATACAATGCCAAACATTGGGTACCTTCTTTTTACCTTTTACGTGGTCGAACTTAAACCAATTATAGCATGATTATAAAAGCGAGAAAAATAGCAATAGTGTTCATGAGATTGTTATTAAACGACTGTTTTTTTGTTTTTCTTTAACTCTGATCCACCTTTAGGCCTTTCCTTAGAAATGACATCCATTGCTGAGCAAATTTAAAACTTTAGAGAATAGATTAATTTATCTTCATCAAGAACTATTACTAATGCTCTTTATTATTATTATTATTATTATTATTATTATTATTATTATTATTATTATTATTATTATTATTATTATTATTATTATTATTACTGATGTTCGTTAAGTAATTTCAAATTATAGTAAATATGTCTACACAATAACCATATTATGCAATAGCAAAGCATTTATGATTTACGAATTTGTGCTCTTCTATGTTTTTGTTATGCCTCCAATATTCAGATAACGAACAAAACTAAATATATGTTCCTGAAATCTATTTTTAAAATATATATATATATATATATATATATATATATATATATATATATATATATATATATATATATATATATATATATATATATATATATATGACTTTCAAAGAACTTTGAAAGTTTTTTTTTACTTAGTTAATGTTCATTCAGAATGGAGAAGAATATATATACATTGTTAAGTAATTACAAAAGTTTACGTTTTCAAGTTAGCTTTTATCGTTTGACTCCTTGGGTCATTTTTAACTTCTGAAAAGAGGCTTTCATTTGTGTTAATGTATTTTTCCTATTATACAGGTGTCGGATGTGTATGACCTTAATATCCAGGCAAATGTAAAGTTTTAAAAATTGTTAACTTCTGTATGATAATGACATAAATTTGTAATCGATTTATTTTTTTACGAACAATATACTTGTGTCAATATCAGCAACGGTACCAGTCTTCCGGATACATTTCTTAAATGTACATAATGCAAAAAATGTAAATTTAAAATTTTGTATTATTTATATTGAATTTCTATAATAAGAAACAAAAGGGTCTCAATTCTGTAGACGATCAGGAATCACTGTTTATATTCAGAAAATAGTTGGTTTATTATATTAAGAGCCATTTACGAAATTGCAATCACAAAAACCACCCATGCATTAGACATTATAGCCTATGACTTCCTGTAAAGCCATTGCACTCTGTTTGCTTTTAATTTAATATTTTCTAGTCATCATCTCTATGAATGCAAGCTTCTCTTGCTATTTTTGTTTCTGATGTTGTTAGATATCTCTCTACCTCTTCCTTCTCTGAGTGCAGCTGACATTTTCAAATGCATCTGAATGATGATTGGATTAAAAAATTCTGCGAGTGGCTCTATACTTTAGCTCCAGCATCAATAACAATATCCGTGGGCTATTAAGCGATCTCAAACAGAAATTTTGAGATGTATCTAGACAAACTTCCTCGGCGTAGAATATTGGGTGTTTACCGTGAATATCGATGTAGGTGATTCCTTGCACTCAAATAATTTAAGAAATTCTGAAAATATTCTCTTCTAAGGAAGGTTGAGTAGCAGGCATTTTGTGATGTCATCATGAAAGAGAAGTCGTGATAATCTTTATTCAGATACCGCGAGATTGCATAATACACGGAAAAGTTTGAGTGCGCCCCATATCTGCATTGTATGTATAAATATGCACATATGGCACATTTCCTTTCATTGGATTGATGCTAAACACGTTTTAAGATGTGATGTCATACCATAGCCGGCTCTGCATATATCTAGTGATAAATGAAAAAGAAAGGCCTAATACTAGACAATTACGTAGCAATTCTTAATTCTAAATGAAAGCAAAAACTATACCACAAAATGTCATAAGTAATCGAATTGATGAAAATATCATTTAATGGCATAAAATAAATTTACTCACGAATCTTTTTTTAACATGAAATGTTTTCCTCTTCTTTAGGAAGAAGGCCTAATGCGAGCAAATCTTGCTTGAAAAACATTTATAAAGTATTCTAAATAAAATTCCAATATTGTGGAAGGCTAAAAAAAACGGTACATTTAAAAGTATTCCGAATAAAAATCCAACAATGTGGAAGGCTATAAGAACGGTAAATTTAAAGTATTCAGAATAAACATCCAACATGGTGGATGGCTATAAGAACGGTAAATTTAAAGTAATCCGAATAAAAATCTAACCCGGTGGAAGGCTATAAGAACGGTAAATGTATAATCGACAGATGGACCACTGCTGCTATGTATTATGTAAAAACAAGAGTTAGAAATATTAGACAGTTCAACGTATAGAGATAATTAAAATATCTATACTCAAAGTGTGACTTAGTTAATTTTGAGATTGCAATTTCTCTTATATAGCAATGCAACCCGAGCAAGAAACTCTGACATCCGTCAGAATCGAGGCTTTGTCAATTTCTTCTAAAGGAAATTCAAGATATAAAAATGAAAGAACTTCATTGAAAAAGTCTTTTCTGCTAGCAGTTATCAATAAATACTAAAATTTAACATTATTATATGGTATTACATACACCAACGCATTTAAACGTATCATTTCCTAATAGTAATAATTCTAAAATAATCCTTAGTAAAAAAAAGAATTTTTGTATAACTTTCTCTCAGTGAAGGTGACATTTTACTAATGCACAAACAAATATTTAGTGTAATTTTTTATGTAACAAAGGATATATCAAGTTGCAGTATGTATGGATTTTAGCTAGCATTAACTATTAACTTCTTAACCTTTATATTCTTACCAGAAACTCATAATGTAACTTTCACAACTGAATAGCTATCACGCTGTATTCTTTTTTTTCTTTTAATAAAACAATGTTACGAAGTATTTTTTCCAATCTGATTAAAGTCAGTTCTCCGCTGTCGTAAGTGAAGGTTGCTAGAACATGAGTCGTAAGCGATCGCTGTCAGATCTTCATGGTTAACAGTTCAGATCTAATTTTAATCAGACTTGTATTTGTCATGCCACTTTATTTTCATCATGTGACTGTATAACTTCATAGAAATAATAATTTTACTATATTTTTAAACAAGACCGCTCCGGTGGCATAATGGTTAGAGCGTCCGCTTCGGATGCGGGGGGTCGCGGGTTCGATATCCGGTCCAGTTAGACCGAAGACTTACAAAAATGGTACTAATAGCTGTCTCGTTTGGCGCTCAGTATTAAGAGGATAGTGTTAGGACTGGTTGGCCTGGTGTCAGGGTAATGTGACTGGGTGGGACATCATGCCACATGTCTACGGCATGATGCCCCAGTGCTACACATCACTATGAACTCTCACACTGCAGACACCGTAGCGATAAGACTGAAAAATTGTTAAAGCTACGTTAAAAATCATAATCATATCACATCACATTTTTAAATACAAAACTCCAGGAATCGTATATCAATCAGGCAATCGATACAATAAGGTCATACACATCTGACGCGTTATTAATTGATACATACCAAAGTAAAATAAATTAGAACAAATCGAGACCTATTTTCGTACTTTGCTGCTGATACAGCTAGTGAAATGATAAAAGATAAATTGTAAGCTTAACCTATTTTGACCTTCTCAATAATGGACGACATATAAAAATGCTGTTTATTGATTTTGAACTAAAATTAATTCAATGAGCTCCTAAGCATCATGTGAAAGCATATAAATAAATTAAAACGTTGCTTTCCTTATCTGACTGTTCCAGCTAAAATGTGTTCATTGATGTTGTAGGTTACGTATAAAAAATGCGTATAATGGTCATTTTTTAGACACTTTTAATACATTCTTAAAGTGTTGCTGAATAATAATGATAATAATAAATGAGAGTTCTAGATCTAGATGATAAAAACATGTTCCCTAAAGATTTAAATGTGCTATCTATTACTGAAAATTAAGCTGCCTAATCTAGACTGCACACACCTTACTTCAAAGTACAATTGCTTCATGAATGCAAAACAATATTTTAAAGGGTCTCATTATAAAACATGAAACCCTAAACAAATAGGTCAACACTGCTTATATTTAAAGTGTGCGATGGGGCTCATAAAACGAGATAATGGTATGGTCAACTCATGTGTTTCGATCAAACATAAGTGTGCGATTGTATTATAAAAAAGATGGGGAAACTGCCTATTGGTAATTTTTCTTAAAATTTTGCCTTTTACGGAGACTCTTTCTGTTTTTTGGTAGTTATTGAGCGTATAGTTGTAAAAAAGTAATAATTTAAACTTCATTCTATTTCAAGGTACACATGTTTGGTCAGTATTGTGAAAGCTATACAAAGAATATACAGGATACACCGAAGCACGATACTTACCTATATCTGACAATATTTTGTAACTTGCATCCTATATAAAAGATTTAGTTTGTGTTCATTAATCGTTTAGCTAAGAAAAGAATATAAATGCAAAATGAAGCTGAATTGGAGGATATTTAAGAGCCTTAAAACGTCTAAGTTGCATTCAGTGGTTTAACAGTCACTATCTACTACACACATGAAAAAATAATATAAATTAAAGAAAAATGTCTGGATCTACAGTTTCCTTGAAAGATAATTGGACCATTTATTCTATTAAAGTCATTCTGAATACTCAGTCGCCAAAAATAGTATTCATTACTGTTTAATTACAAGCGTTTCCGGTTTCAAAAACAAAACAAAACCTTGGTGTGGGGTAGAGAAATTAGCAATAGGAAGTTCGATAAATGATATTGGTGTCTTATTTAAATCCGGAGAACAGTTGATGGATAATGTATCCATCAACCTGTGATTTATGTAACATTAACGGAAATTAATCAAAACTTTCCTTTCATCCAATGTATAGATTTTCACTATGTTCGATAACAACGGTGAAAAATTACACAGGCGTTAAAACAGTGGAAAAGTTAGACTGGATATTATCATCATCTTGCTATATTTTATCAATAATAACACAGACAGAATATGTTTAACCATTCCATAGACTAGGGAAAAAGAACTGCATTAAAAGTGTTACTAAAATCTATGACCGGTGTCTGCGTTATTTTCTGATCATTAAGGAAATGTGTTCATGTTGTTCATCGAAATAATTATTTTATGCAGTAAATAACGTTCACAAGGATATTATCTGTCGCAGACTGGTTATTTGATCTGCATGACATAATTTATGGCTAAATTACTTTTTCATTTTGTTCATTCTTTTGGTGGAAATGAAGGCAATCAAAAGACCAGAATAACACGACGGAGACCATCTACACTACGGGTGCCATCTTTTAGAACCACAGGGATTGGTTCTTAATCACCTTGCTTTTGCCTATATGTATCAAAAAAAGATAATCTAGTTTCGTTAAATAGATTCTGTTAATCTTTTTACCCACTTGATTATAATGAATTCATATAGATGCAAATATTTCCTCCTGGTTGCCTCGTCACCATCAATTCAGCGATGCTATCTTTAAATCATATTTTTTTCTGAAGCATGAACTTGTTCTTATGTGTCTACTGATAGAATAATGTGCGAAAATGATTTAATACACAATAAAAAAGTAATCATCGGATAAAAACAAATTCAATCAGCCATATTTGAAGTGCATCGACTCACCAGTGTTATTAAGTCAGCACTAAATTAGTGCTGAAGCGCCCGCCTTTACATATCACCGCCATTTTGCCCTTGTCCGCATGGTTTTGAAATTTTGACTGGGCCAATGAGAGTATTTGAGAAAGCTTACCAGTAGCATCCACTGGATTGTGTTTCTCCCCTGGATTTCTCCTGGTTCTTCATCCACCAGTTATTCAGGCTGAAGAAATAATTCGGTTGTTAACTACCATTCTCAAGTCGGTGATTACCATGGTGATTGTATATAATAACGAGCGGATTCTGAGTTCGAAATGCTCCAGACAAAGATTGTTATAGAAGTGTATCTAAACCATGATGACGTAATGGGATGTGGAGGATCGAATTTGTATACTTGCATTGAAGTGTCTAGAAATACTTCAAAAACATCCACGAGAAGCAACACATCTGTACGCAAACAGAGCTCATTAAGAGTCTTCCATGTTCTTGCATTCGAACCAGTCCTTACTTACATGTTTTTATAGTCTTTAGTGGAATACCTTCTCGATATAAGCGCCTCGATCAGTGGCAAATGAGTTTTGAAAAATGCGTGTTCCAATAACCGTAGGTATACATTTGTTTTATAGTTAACAAGTTAGTGTTTGATTTATAATATTGATTTATTGCAATAAGTGGTTGTCAATAACGGGTCATGAACAATACACGAAGTGTTGTTCGATTTGGGTTTTTTCGTAATTTTTCATTGCTTGCGTTGTGTGTTGTTCCACTATACAGTTATGTGACAGTGATCATGAAGTTTGGAACTTTCAAGTAAACCAAGCAATATGTGACCCATATAAAATTCATGAATGTGATCACTGGTTATAATCATGCTGGCTCGCGAACATAGCTGTCCATTTTGTTGTAACTATTAAACCAATGCAAAGAGAAAATATTGGAGCCTCAGTCTGCATGTCGCATCTGACAATGGTGTAAACAAATCCACATGGGTCTTTATAAGCAACATGTGTTTTATTTGTTCTATATTCTTTGTCCTATTTTTTCTTTGAATTTTGAAAAACGTTCACAGTCCGTATAGATTTCATTTTCTGTTGCACCTCTGTAAATGTTATTATGTTTATATCAGGTTCTAACAAACTCATAAACTGAGAATTCTCACTAATTCTACATCAATGAAAGTCATTGTCAAATAGCAGTTCTTATGAGCTAAATAAGTACATTCATCAAGCAAACTGTTACTCGCGTCCTGGTTGTGCCGGTTAAACCATCGCTCTAAACAATTTGTCGATAGAAAATAGAGATTCTGAGCTGATCATTTAGCTAAGCAAGATGATCTTAATGAAGGTCTGCTCACTTTGTACATGTCGGGATTGTTACAAGCAGACAAAAAAGAACTTTATTAAAAATTAACAAATTAAGAACGATACAAGATTTAAGTATTTCACAATTTTATTTATAGTCTCCTTAGTAACCTGCCCTGAAATTCTGTATCACCCAAAATGAGACAGCCCAAATGTTGCAGTAATTGCGAATTGATTAATTTATCAATGTCGTCTGATGTTGTTGAACAGTTATATAAAGTAATTTGGGCTTAACAAAATCTGTAATACGCATTCAAACAAAACTGTGATTTTATCTTCTCTGTAACACTGCACAAACTAAACTGGCTTGTCGAGTTTCCTTAAATTGAAAAATTTATACAACGAGTGGTATATCATTGATAAAGAGTATAAACTGTACATATATTTTGTTTATATCAACAACAAATACATTGCCATTTAAAATGAGTTATAATTACTATTTTTATTTATTTTATCATATACAAATATATTTGAACGGACTTAAGATTTGCTACTAGCAGCTGTATATTGACAGAGTGAAATGAACTCCTCAAATCTCCGAGCGTGTCCGCTACAAAGTGTAGTTCTATGTCTTTTGTGGTTATTCACAATCACCTTTGCGCATTGATAAGTTTATTGTTTTCTTTTATACTTTATATTTTAGTTCACACTAATTATATCAATATAATACACAATTATGATTTAAACATGTAAGATGGATTTAACAATAAAAGTGGAGCGTTACAAACAGTTGGTTAACAATGTCAATTCCATAAACGCTAAGCCATTCACCGACCGGCTCATGGAAATTAAAGTGGAATAGAAACTAACCAACAATAGGTTATTAAAATATTTTAATATAGTTATAGTTCATCTAAGTCATTAGTATGCATAGAGTACAACCAACCATAAACTCTCTCTCTTTCTCTCTCTCTCTCTCTCTCTCTCTCTCTCTCTCTCTCTCTCTCTCTCTCTCTCTCTCTCTCTCTCTCTCTCTCTCTCTCTCTCTGAAATACATCATAGTATGTGTACCACGTAACCATAAAATTTACTGCATATTGTCATGGTTTGCAACTTGGTGTTATTGATAAACTCGGTAGATAAATCCTAATACAATTGCACGAGTATCGTTACGACGAAACATTCTTGTAGGTTACTTGGTGTAATTTCTATTTCAAGGTTTTAATCCGTCCAAATTTCGTGTCTCTCGTTCCACATCTCTGCGTAGCTTGTCTGTTATGCACGAA